TTTTTTGGGCCCACTGAGATCCCTTAACGTATTTTTTTACAAGGATTGATGCAAAATCGGCCGAATTCAGCCAAAAATGGCCGAAAATAGCCAACCCGAGGCAGACTGCCGCATTAGGTGCCGTCGGAGCATGACGGAGTCACCGTGCTAGAATTTCAAAATTGGCCAAAAAGGGATCCTAACACTGTTTTTGAGTTTTTTGGGGATATCTATAGGTACTTATAGTGCGTTTTAATCCCCGAAAAAAAAATAAGGGAATCCGAGGACCGCTGGTAGGCACAGCCAACAAGTTCGCTTTCGGGCATCGAATTGAGTAAGAATCTGTCACCCTACTCTCTGTTATCGAATTGAAGTCAAATTAACAATAATACAGTGTTTTGTACAAATTAGAAAATATATATAATTAATTACTAGTTATTAATTGAGCAAGAACTGAAAATTATCTATTATTATTTCTGTTAATTGTTTCTACAGTTTAAATGCATGATAGTACTTTATTGATCGATTCTATAGTTTGAAATGTATATATTGGTCGTTTTATGTATTTACGGTTGAATTAGGAAATAATGGAGATTAAAGAAAAATAAAAAAAAATGCATGATTAAGTGAATGGATGAAACGGTAGCCTTACTAGATATCCTGGAAGATGGTGGACGGACCGGGTACATAAGAAACCCTACCGTGAACGTTGCCTTATACCAGACGGGATATCGAGGTTTGGTAATTTGATGTTCATACCGGATGGGATATGGGAGCGACCCGTTTCACCCTCATACTGGACAAGGTATTGAGGTTTAGTAGTTTGACCCTCATATCGGACGAGATATGAGGACAATCCGTTAATTTGAAATGTTAAAGAAAAAGGTTCACGCGTTGTGAGGATATCCCTATGAACCCCCATGTATACCAGTAGGCTGATAAAATGGTTGTTCAAATCAATTACATATGAAAATCATGATCTGTGTAATATTATTGTCTATATAAGTTGTTTTGTAAATTTTACTACGGTAAGTAGATGTAAAATATTTTGTTTATGATAAATGAATTTATTTAATTAAGAGCTCCGTTAGTTGTTTTTTATTTTTCTACCAACTTTTATTTCTATGTCGGTGAGTAGTGTGATATTCTTACTGGGGTAGTGTAACTTATTCCTTATTTAATCATATCAGGTTAAGAGAACCAGGATCTAGAGACTGATCCACAAGAGAATTGCGAGTAAGATATCAGTTTTATTTATTTTTCGTTAATTTTCTTAATTTTTGAATTTCCTTTAAAAAGAATAATTCCCATAACACTATTTGATACTTTAAATTATTGTGTAAAAAATGTAAATTTTAACTAATTATTTCGTTTCTGCACTTAATTTACGATTTATTTTATTTGAAATCCGAAGTCGTTATAGTTTAAAAATTTACAAATAAATTGTTGGAATTGTGTTTTTGAGATAATTATAATTAAATTATTATTATTTTTTTTTTAAATTTAGAACTAGTTCATGTGTTTTTAACTTATACAATAACTCAGTCAAATAAATTATTAAAATTACTATTCAATACAAGTCAACCTTTTTTCTAAGAAAATATACAAAAAAATAAAGAAGATTCATCTGAAAAACACAATGCAATCTTTTAAAAAATTAATAAATTTTGACCAAATTTGAAGAGCTACAATTAAAAAAGTTTACTCTAAATTCAGGCCAATATTTTCTATATTTTTTTATAAATATTTCAGTATTTTATTTTTAGTAAAAATTTTCATGTATTATTTTGTAAAAAATATTAGATCATGTTTTATAAAAAACTTTATTATGTATATTATTAGTTTATTTATTTGAATTAGAGTGTTAATTTAGACATTTCTTTCGAAGTTATGAATTAAGTTGAGATTAATTTGTAATTATCACAGTTTCTTGTAAATACTAAATAAATTACCCATAATTCAAACTCAGTAATAATTTATTTTTCAGCAAAAGAGAATGATTCAATAATAAAAATAATGACTAACCACTCTAACAAGATAACACTTGAATCATTACTATGTGCTAATTAACCTGTAACAGTAAAAAAAAAAAAAAAAATTAAAATTTACTAGTAGTATGAGTAAATAGTAAAAGTGAAATTTTTCCATGATCCGCCGATTTTGTTCTTCTTGGGCTCCGTTTGAACTTTGA